GGATGCGGGTAATCGCGGTACGAATCGAGGGGGGTACTTTAGACGGGTAATCCTCCGGTGGTCGTTGCGCTAGAACCCTCAGCACGGGATGCGGGTAAAACTGGTGTAAATCTCAGGAGGTACTTTAGGCGGGTAATCCTCCGGTGGTCGTTGCGCTAGAACCCCCATCCCCTATACTACTCGCTATATTTAGTCAAGTCAAATGCCCGCCCGTTCGGACATATATTCAGCATCAAATTCCCCACTCTACGGAACTTGACTATGGCCAAATGCCGGGGGGGGGGGGGGGGGGGGGGGGGGGGGATGGGAACCTTTGGAATTGACTCATACATAATAACTACCATGGCCACTGCTTTAGACAGGCCAACATTGAGCAATGCCATAACTACACCTCTTGATATATTCTTCCACAGTTTATTAGTTTTTCATAAATAACAATGATTAATACAACTCATAATATAAACCAAACTATTATAAAACAAACTCTATCATAAATTGACAATAAATTACATTAGAGCACAATGCTGAATACTACATACTGTACTATTAATGTGTACTAGTGGTGGGACTTTTACAGTAACTTCAACAGTGTAGTGGAAATCTCTAGATAACTGAATTAAAGTGTTAGAATGTACTCTCACGCTTTCAGTAATCCAACATAGTCTTCAAAATGCAATAACAAAAAATTTTGGATATCAAAAATAAATGAATTTGAATTTAAACAGTTGTTTAAACAAAATCAAGGAAAAGATGCATATAATAATTCAATTTAAAAAATGTTGTGTGAGATTCCAGGTTTTTGATTTCAATATTGCAACACCATTTACAGAGATAGTCTTGGTAATTGCCACACAGCTTTGGTTAATAAAATTAGTACAGGAATAGACCTATTCCATGTTTCAATCCCCCAATAATGATTTTGTTTGTGTATACTTTTAAGAAGCTTAACCCAGGGTGTGACAACTGGTCTGAAATAAGAAAAGACTGACTGCCCAAGCTGAAAAGTCTATTGGAAAAATCAAACTTTATATATATTTATTTCATACTTGACAGAGGTTTCTTTTTTCATAGAGCTTTATATCCATATTGCCCTGCTCATATATATGTATTTATAAAATAACTGTTATGAATGTAGCGTTCTGATTGGCTTGGAGCGCATGCTTTATGAGAGCAAATTGCACGCGCGTGCACTTTCTGTTGCGTCATTCCTATCTATTATTGTAATTTGTATTTTATAAAATAAATAGCAAACTTGCTTGCTGTGCTGTGTGCCATTATAAAGCACTTTGGGATTTGCAGAACACTCGAGAAGTGTCCAGAAGCACTCCGCTACGCGTCGTGCTTCTCGTAACACTTCTCTCGTGTTCTGCCAACCCCACGTGCTTTATGACGGCACACAGCACGCACGCTTTTTCTATTTCTTCATTCAAAAACCTCATGAATAATCAGTGCACTAATTCTATTGCAAGTAAGCATTTGTGTGAGAAACAGGACATGACCACTTTCATGTTTTCATCAAATTTTCAATGCTTGTAAATTCCTAGATCTTTCCCTTATTAGGGAGACACCTTTTTGCAAAAGGTCTATAAAAGGACAACTTTAGAATGAGGAGAAAAACAAAACAAAAATTACAAGGACCAAAAGTACAAACTACCAAGTACATACAGAACCAATGGACAACATATCTTTATTCTTTAAATCAGGATTTTTCCATAATATGAAATAGCTCTCAAATAATTTACAACACTACACACACAACATGCAAACACTTGCAATAACTAGTAAACAACACAATAATGTATTTTTTCTACGAGGAAAAGCCTTCATAAGATAGAAAATTAAGAGAGCTGTCAAACTACACACAAACAATCAATCATGCTATTGTCCGAGTCAATTTTGAAATTTATTACTTGAAACAAACATGTGCACTAACCCCTAAATCATGTAGACTTATGTGTGCTATTAAGAATTTGCCAATAAATTGATATACTGGTAGATATTACTACAACACTGAGGCATTCATTAACTACAAAATTTATCATTTTTGTTCATTTACATTTGACCATAAGACAAAATAAGGCAAATAATAAATGAAAGCAAGTAAGAATAACAATACAATCCCATGCAGTGTATTTTGTTCAACTCTTTGCCAGACTGGGTATGGTTAAACGTTTCCGGCTGTTATTCATACTCCTGCAGATGGATTTATCGCTCTACCATCAAATCAATTATTATGCAATAATTGAGCAGGATATTAGTTCCAGAGAATATCCATCCGTCCCCATAATGAGTGGTGTAATATTAAATGTACCTTTTCCCCCTGACACACACAGACCCCAAAGATTATTATCACAACTATGCGTCGTTGCAAAGTATGAGAATATACTCTAGCATAATCATCCTTGAATCTGACAGATGTTTGTATCCTCTAGATCTATAACTACACCTTCTGTTAACCTGAATAAAACCTGTCATGTGCAGGTTTCTATGGACAGCTCCAATCAGTTTTAAGTGTTGTCCATAAAACATAAGCAAGAGATTTTGAAATTTTTTGAGCCTGGTTTCATGAGCTTTATATTCAATCTTATAGTACACTCAACAAAATTACTCGACTCTGATTGGTCGAGAGGAGTACAATTATAGCGTTAATTGTACTCCGTAGGAGTACCAAATTAAGTCGCTATGGCAACACGGCCAAAACAATATCAAAACAATTATTTTCCATCATTTTGTATTTAAAAAACATATAAATAAAATTTTAAAGCTGTAAGAACTAATCTTTTTTATGCATTTCAGTTGCGCGATGGACTGAAAATCGGCCGCCAAATAGACAAAGATGAACGGCGTCGATGCGCATTTTTTACTGAAATTTTGTTGAGTGAACTATAAACAAAAAATCACACGATCTTCTCGTACAATTTGGAATTAATAGACACTTGTAATGTTTTGAAAGTTCTTTAATTGCACGAGCCTTAAATTGTACTCGAGATCGTGCGATTTCCTATACAAATTATAAAAACCCTAAATAAAGTTTCCCTACATTTCAGTCAAAAAATAAATCAAATTGCATAATAGAGTGACCAGTAAATCCGTGAACTTTAGTAATACTAAATAACACAATTTCATGTAAATTCCATTGTTTTCTATTATTTAATTACCACTATTTTGTACCATTTAGTAATTATTGTTTCACGGATTAATTGTTTGCACTCTATAATGTCTTGAGGAACATAAACAATAAATTCTAATTACTATTTTCATATATTTACAATATTTAATCCATCTCCGGGCACCACAGCTGGAGAGACACACTTTTGTCACCGGGTACTTTTGGCTTTTACAAGGTATCTTTGCTGGACAGGCTTCGCAGAAAGCATTTCATTTGCTTTGTCAACTGGGAACCAAGATCTCTTACGACCTTAAAAAAACATTTGTTATAAAATAAAAAACTTTTGAATAAGTTTGAAATAATATAATATCAAATAATAGATTATCAAATAGAGGACTACTTTTATCAAGGCTCCATTATTAGAACATGAAGATCCACAAAGAGTTGTTCAAATCACGATAAATGTAAGCCACCTCTAAAACTAAAGTCCAAGATGAGAATCTCTCTCTTTTTGCAACATTGATTTTGGTGAAACAGAAATTGAAAATTGGGTTATTTTTATAAATCTTATGAATGAATCAGGTCAAGGTAAAGTGGAACCAAGAAAAGTCATGATTGTGCACAATCTTAAGATACATGTTAGTTATTCTGAGATGAGGTTCATTATAACATACTAGCAACAGGGTGGTAAATGGTTATTTCCTGAATTGTGATTTTACCAGGATTTTTTTCCGTGAAATGGCCACTTTTATTATTTCATGAATAGCATGACTTGACCATATTATGCCACATTAACTGGATTTGCAATCCCCTGCAACCCCCTTAGCACCATGTAGAAAGCATGTCTAAATCAATTGAATTCATACTGTCAATGTCATTAAAGTTGTCCACCAAAAAAAGACATTTACACATTTACACATTTAGACTAAAAGATATATCACATGTTTCATTATGTATTCTTTGCCTTGTGTGCGTAAGCCTGAACTTTAAATGTAAAATTCAACTCATGAATCAAAAATCCAGAATGCCCTGACCATTTAGTGAGGATTTAAGATGGAGAATGGTATTTCAGCATTTGTTTTATGCCAGAACCTTCGAGGAAACACATGATATTTCTTTTAGTCTAAATGTGTAAATGTGTAAATGTCTTTTTTTGATGGACAACTTTAATGACATTGACTGTATGTGTTTAAAATGGGTTAAGGTCTTAACGTCACTACCAATATTTCAATCAAGTGCTATAGCATTTCATACTTTGTGCACTTATGATGGTAATATTTTTAGAATTTTAAAACTATTACTTCAAACCCATAAATACTTATTTTTAAGAGCCTAATGTAAGGCAGTGGTCTAAAGGTCAGCCTTATCACTGACAACCATCTAATTTACAAAATGAGCTTAACAGTTTGATTTCATTTAAAAATAAAAACTTATGAGACCAAAATACAAGCTAAATTGTTGCCAAAATATCTAACTAACAACAAAATAGCACGTGTGGTTTTCATTTTACTGTAAAGACAAGTATCGTAATTTGAAAAATTGAAGCAAAAAAATATATACCGTTTCTTGATTCTTCCCAGGTTTCAAGCTGTTCTGTGACAATAAGCACGAATACCCAAGTTCTTGTTCGACTAAGGTCATTCTGTAAACAATGAGATTTGAGAATACAATGAGGACGAACTGCCACGATACAATTTAGCGATTGTGTACTAAAGTATATATGACAATTATTTTATTTAATAACATTACGGCAAAAAAACACCTACTTGGAATACTCCTAGAAACCTTCCAAGATTTCCCTTAACTCCAGCCTTGAGAAAGATAATAGAGTAGACTATGTAAATAATTAACTGTTTTATTAACGACGACGCAACCTAAAACTAAACGTAAACCCAACTCAAACAATATTAACATGCACTTTCAATTTCCTACTCACTTCTTCTTGAACTTCACGGATTGCCGTTTCTCTTGAGTCCTCTCCCGGTTCTATTCCTCCAGCAGGAACGACCCATCTATCTGGGTGTCTGGAGCTTGATACCAGGAGGACCTAAAATCGACAAGAAAGAAAGGTTTAGGAATAGACACCCCACTGTACAACAGTTTACTATGTGACGACACTCACCTCTTGTTCTTCTTCGGTTTTGAAGCAAAGGCAGCCAGCTCTTTGGACATAACCCTCTTCATCATACGTCCTCACACTGTTGGATCTATTTTTGATCATATCCAGTTAATTTAAAGACTGTTAAATGAGAAATTAAGAGCACATTCTTTCTAAACAACAGCTATTGCTGCAGCTAAATAGCACACGTTAGTCGCCATGACAGGTAAAAAACCGGTACGCCCAGCGAGAATGACGGGAAGAACTTCACCGGAAGTAAATGTATAATTATATAAGGTAAGTTCCGGTAAAGGGAGCCCAATCGCGGTGAAGTTGTTTAAGTGCCTATCACCCTTCTGACAATATTCACCGTAATATATATATTTAGGCACTGTCTAAAAGCGGAGCTCCCGATACGGAAGTCACAGGGAGAACAATTTGAATGAAACTGAAAGGTAAAAATAAGATCGAGGAAAAAATCTTCAATTATTTTTTATTCGAAATGATGATAATTTCTCCCATAATAAAAACTATGCAGTGAAATCGAATCAAAATGCACTACATCGTTTTTTGTTTTTTGTTGTTTTTTTTTTTGCGCGAGTAAGCTCAATTAGCATGGCTACAACACGAGGCATGGAAGCGAGTTTCGCTTACCACGAGCCAAAACTAACTGGGGAAAACAAGCAATGCAGTTTCAAGCCATGAAAGAATGGAACAATCTGAGTGACACTCTTAAACAGTGTTCTAATATTAACCATTTTAAATCGAATTTCTTTTAAACCCGTAAACCTAAATAATCTGAACTTTTCATCTTTTACAATTTTACATACTAGTAATAATGATGTTGACTTTTCARTAACGAGCTGGTTTCGATATTCAACCTCCAAATTCTCTTTTTGCATATCATTTTAAAAATATCTTACTTATCAGGACGTTCTTGAAAATCACATTTATAAGTGAAGAAACTTCCTGTTAAAATATGAATGTAAATAAGTATACTCTCCCACTTAGAATTTTGTACACAACTTACCACCACCCCCAGGGGCTAGTTTTGTTCTTGGAAGATTCTTCGACAAAAAGTTTTCCAAGGCCTACAGTTTT